CTATTTTTTAAATGCGTGTTTATGGTGTTCATGCTAATTGGACGATGATTAAGCCGGCGATCTGATGACGATAATTCTCGAGCGTTTCTACTGATACGCGAGCACAACGGCTATTAGTTAATTAGATGCATTTCGCCCCCGATGACTGCGTGCGTGTTCATGAGTGCGTGCGCGTGTGCGTGCGTGCGTGTGTGCATGCGTATGTGCCTGCGCGCGTGTGCGTGCGCGTCGGTGTCGTGCGCGTGTGTGTGCGTGCGCAGTGTGCGCGTGCGTGCGTGCGCGTGCGTGTGTGCGTGTGTGTGTGCGCGTGTGCGTGCGCGTGCGTGCCTGCGCGTGTGTGTGTGCATGTGCGTCCGTGCGCATATTATGTAGAGAATAATCCTGTAGATTAGTCGCTGGTCGCTTGGGACAGACACGCATCATGATCGGTTTCCTATTCATGTATATCAGGAGTTAATGAAGACAAAGTCAAGACATTTGTCTTCATTAACTCCTGATGTATATCTGTGTGTCATCGCTGCACGCAGACGACAGTGTGAACATCATCTACGCTCTTTCTTCTCTCTTCTCTCTCTCTCTCTCTCTCTCTCTCTCTCTCTCTCTCTCTCTCTCTCTCTCTCTCTCTCTCTCTCTCTCTCTCTCTCTCTCTCTCTCTCTCTCTCTCTCTCTTTCTCTTTCTCCACCCTCAGCACATAATTGCACGCGCTTGAGGCGTTTCAAGGACACTTCAGAGTTTTTGATTATGAGTCGAGTTGACGACGATTACGATGATGATGGCTGTGGTTAACGCCGACGACGATGATGATGGTGGCTGTGGTTAGCTGACGACGACGACGATGATGATGATGATGACTACTGTGGTTAGCCGACAACGATTATGATGATGGCTGTGGTTAGCTAACGCCTTCAACGACGGCGATGGTGATGGCTGTGGTTAGCAGACGACGACGACGACGACGACGACGACGACGACGACGACAACGACAACGATGATGATGACTGTTGTTAGCTGACGACTACATTATACTACTCCGAGCAACGTTGTGCTGAAACACGACACCTGTCGGCTGCTGCTGCGTTATTCCGCGGGAGGGCGCCGCTGCGACGTAATTCGATAACAGGTGGCACCACCTACGCGACTCATCCGCCTCTCACGGGTAACGTCATCGTTCGATCAGTACAGGAGGAGGGAGGAATTTGTCGCCGCTAGATGGCGGTGCAGTGCTGCTAACCATCAGCAAACATTGACGGTATCGGTTGGGTAACTTTGCGATCGGTTGCACGGTGTTTGAAGTCGGGTGTATGATTCCAGCTCTGGTCTCATGCGCGGAAGATGATGATGCTTGGCAAACCGATTGCGTAGGCTTGTGCATTTCTGTTCTTAAGTTATAGTGGGGACAGGAATTAAAGCCAGCTCGCAGAACGCCATTTCATTGGCTAACAGAACGAACGGCTGCTGATTCGCGTGTTGCTATGGCTCGCGTAAACAAACGTTGCTAAGATTCACGGTTCTTGCTACTCAGATTGTTTAAACTCGTATTCAATTACATCTAAAACATATAACCAGGGTTTGTGCGCCGATAATATCGTTATCTGAGTGCGTTTGCGGGCTGAGGAATCTGAAAATCATGAACTATCTCAGAACGTATGACGTTACTTATACGTATACGTTAACGGGTATGATATACCCGTTGCGCTTTTCCAGCCCTAACTCTCGGCTATTCAATGGTGCAGCGTTGTTGTGTTAGTGTGCCGCTACGCGGCGTTTTTCGCGCTTCGCGCGATATCCGGGCTGCCGATCATCCAGCCCTAACTCTCGGTCGTTGGCGCATGCGTTGTAGCGTTAAGGTATGAACAGTGACTGGGCTAACCAATTAACCTACGACACTGCAACCTGGTGACTAGAACGGAATGCGCGTCCATAGCTACGTCTTGCTGCATAATTTCCCTTGGTGACTACCATAAGTATTCCTCACCGCTGCCAGCTCCCACCAAGAAATAAATAAAAGTGTGAATACCGAGAGAGAGAGTTACCGTCTTAGAGTTAAACGCGTCGCGCTTTGCGTATGCTAATCATCTGCAAACATATTCTTAAAATTTGTTATCGCTTTTATAACGCAGAATCTTGCGTCGTTACTGTTTTAGCCGGCATTTGCGGACGTGGCAATAATGTTTTTTTAATAAAAACTGCGGAAGGGTAAAAAAAAGCTATTCGGTGGGCATTTTCGTTATCCTGTTCGCGATTTATAACTGCGTCGATTCTCTCGGCTCAAGCTTTCAATTATTAATGCTACGTGCAACACGCTGCAAGCAAGCGTGCAAGCTTTAAAGGGTGGTTAAGGGGCACACGAAAGCCAGGTTGGCGAATACCATCAGGTATATTTATATATATATATATAATATATATCAAGAGTACATAATAGAGATCTTATTATCACATCTCTGTTATGTACACTTGATATATATATATATATGTCACCACGTATATATCGTCACGGTTCGACCGACTCGTCAGCTATATGTTTTAGGATCGTGGATGGGAAAGGTTTGCCAAAATAGAAATGTGTAGCTGATTGATTGACGTGGAACGGAACGTAGTCGAGATGTTAGCTGATTCAGATCGCTGTGTGCATGCGTGCGTGCGTGCGGGCGGGCGGGCGGGCGTGCGTGCGTGCGTGCGTGCGTGCGTGTGTGCGTGTGTGCGTGTGTGTGTGTGTGTGTGTGTGTGTGTGTGTGTGTGTGTGTGCGCGTGCATGCGTGCGTACGTGCGTGTGTGTGTGTGTGTGTCTGTGTGTGGGTGTGTGCATGTGTGTGTCTGTGTGTGTGGTGGCCCAGACGGATTATTGTATAAGCATGGGTAAGGGTTACAATTAGTGCAATAGTGGTCCCGGTCTTATATATGTTTGTCCTCCTATATAATTATATACTAGCGGGATACCCGTCGTTGCCCGGGGAAATCAGTGGCGTTACTCAGTTGGTCACCGCTTGGTTGAAAGGAAAATACCCCAAAAAATCTAACTATCTGTCTATCCATGCATCGATCCATGCATCCATCCCATCCCATCGCACCGCATCCCATCCCTTATCCCATCCCATCCCGTCCCATCCCATCCCATCTCAGCGCATCCCATGCCATCTCATGACATCCCATACCATGCCATGCCATCCCATTCCATCCCATCCCATCGCACCGCATCCCATCCCTTATCCCATCCCATCCCGTCCCATCCCATCCCATCTCAGCGCATCCCATGCCATCCCATGACATCCCATACCATGCCATGCCATCCCATTCCATCCCATCCCATCACATCCTATTCCATTGCACCGCATCCCATCCCATCCCATCCCATCCCAT